TTTCTGGCATGGAGCTTGCCCCAAAAGTGGTGTGGCAACGTGGCTTTTTTTCCCCCTACTTTTTTTTTGGACTGATGTTGCAGATGACGCTTCGATCCCCTTGAAACTATCAAAAATATCCTTCAGAGTGGAACTTGAGGTGACCTCAGTAAGGCCATAAGGCTTGAGAACTCTGCATTCACTTACAATCTCGACCGACATGAACATTCCTCGGGAAATTTGGATAGTCAAGACAAAAATCTGAGAAAACGGTAACGTCAGACCAAACAGCGACATCGACATCATGCTGCTGCCAGGCTGGTCATTAGTCTGCTCACTTACATATTGTGCTAATTAAAAAGTGTTCACAGGTTCCAGATACATGACTATCGCTCCTTCAGTCTGGCTTCCAGACACAGAATTACAAAATTGCAACACCGTCTGCAAATGGTGTCGGACTAAATTTAGCCCAAAATATATGGGAGCATACCATAATCCATGGACTTTTTTTTTTAGTTTAACAGAGTGCAGGAGAAAATCCCTAATAGAAGTTACAGTACAGATTCAGAATAGGGACTGACAGCTCTTTCCTTGCACCATTTGGTGAAGTGGAGAAACCTACTATCACAAGTTCTCCTGATGGAATCCCATTTGCTCCTGGCTGCCAAGGATGTAGCTTTCAACGGCTGAAATTTGTGCTTAATATCCCTTACATAAAATACTTCAATTAGCGACAAATCTTCACACCTTGGAAATTCCTACTTTTTGAGTAAAATCCATATATTTTCATGATCCAGAGTGCAAATCAATCCGATTTTTGTAAAATAACTATTAGGAGTAAGTGATACATGTACTGGAGTAAATGTTTTCTTTTATTTACAAATTCCTAAGTGCATTTAATTCTAAGTAGGGCCGGGGCGAGCACACATTCTTTAAGATTGGGCGAGCAGTCACGCGTGTTTTAAATTCTTTAATCTTCGTACGCCACACAAACACCTGATTGTACCTTCGTGAGCAGAATATCAAAATTCGCAGAGTGTGCATGAGGAGAATGCTGAGAATTCAGGATTTGCTATATAAGTGAGGATTGCAGCAATCCTCGTCCCTCACATTTTATTTCTTCAGTTTCAGGGCGGACGTCTGCAGAGTAGCAGAGTGGGCAGAGAATTTCTCTGTGAGCCCACGTTGGAGCGGCTGTTTTAGTTGCTGAACTGTGATTCGTCATGTTATAATTTTGCCGTTCCTGCACGGATTAATCCATGAAACCTCCAGTAAAGTTCGTCGCTGCTGCAGAAACCATGCAGTAGGCTGCTGCCATGCGCCTGTGGTTCTTCTAGCTACTGGGAGTTTGCCCGTCAACTACGAGGCGGAGCTGTGACATCCCGACTTTACGCGTCAGAATTTACGTGTCAGCGTCAGACTTTACGACACACGGTGTCTCGTGACCTGAGCACTGTGCGAGTTTTCTCCGGGCTGCGGTCGTCGGACTTTGTTTATACCGGTTGGGTGAAGCAACGATGGTACGAAAGCAACCGAGGGGGCCGTTTTCAACACCGGGTTTATCACACATCACGTACTTCTAAAGGACAGCAATCTACAAGGACAATCATCAGAGAAGCTGGACAGTTTGGCTTTATTCCTCGGCAAAGGGGAACTGAGGTATTTTTGAAAGACTAGTGGGTCTCCGACCCCCATTTTGTCTGGGCTGCTCGCCCCGTATTAATTCTTGTAACCATTCTATAACGTAATGTCATAACGCAACTGGGTAATGTACTTTTCTATTGCAATATTTTGTTTTTCATAATAACTCGACTCGACTCGAGCGAAGGCTATTTAGTCTCGAGTCCCAAAAATAAAAGCACAACTTTGCGAAAAGTATTTGCAATGACTTACGGTGCAAAATTTATGCTCACTTCGCTTTGCGAATTAGTCATGTATAAATATACGTGTCACAGACTCCCACCTCATTGTTCTAGAACGCACAAAATACTATCCAGGAACCAGATTTTTAAACACATTTTCTAATTTGCTGTTTCATCATTGGCTTTATAGGCGATTTCTTATAAAGCTCCTGGATTCGAACGCTGGCTAAACTTATGGCCTCCTTTTATAACTTTTGGTATATAGTGTTCAAATATTGTGACTCAAATTGACTCGAGCTAAATATTTGACTTGACTCGACTCGACTCGACCTTTGGACCTAATGACTCGACTCGACTCAAGTCACTTCTTTAAAATGACTCGACTCGACTCGAGTCACTATTTTAAAATGACTCGACTCGACTCGAGTCACACCAATCAGTGACTCGTTACAACTCTGGTTGTGGTACTCGTGCTCGGTACTTGTACTCAAGTTCTACTGAAGTACTTTTTTTGGAGTACTTGTACTCGTACTCTAATGTCAAAGCACTTGCACTCGAAATGATGGTACTCATACTTGGGCAGCAAAGTACTCGTACTGATTTGTTGAGATTGTACTCAATCACAGGCCCAGATCAATTGTTTTGTAGGCCCTAGCCACCGACACCAAATTGAAGGCACTGTACAAATCATGCCAGGCCAAACTGGTATATAGGTCCTAGCTCTAAAAGCATGTTGGCATCAAGGGCGTCAAAAGTATAGGGGTGTTACAAATACGTGTATCCTGATGAGAACTAATTAAAGTGCGAAGAAAAAAAAAATCATTTTACTCACACTGTGAAAACTCTTTCAAAACAAATTTTTATTCTTTGATTCTCTTTAGTGTTTCTCTTCATTTTGCCACGGATAAACCTAACCCCAAAATGCCTCTAAACCTGTTTTTCAGAGAGGGAGATACACTGTGTGGACGTGGACAAGTCCATGCAAAGTCGCTGCTACCTGGTTTATGTGGACCTCTTTTGTTCAGAAGTCCACACAGTGACTGTAGGTGCTTGTACACCCACCCAAGTGTGTATAGATTGTATCGAATACCCCCATGTTGGCATAGCAACAGTGCAGCGACATACGCACCGCCATGTTGTAGGGCTGCACGCCCTACAACATGGCGGTAGCTAGTCTAGCTAGCTAGTCGTATGATCGTACGTACGTGTACGGGACAAGTTCGTATACTATTGAACAGTTCAAGTGTTTTAAGTTATTAGAATCCTACAACCAATTTGTATGCGGTTGGGTTCAGAAGGTACAGGTTTACAACCTGCAAGACTCGCAGCTGTGCATATTGAGCAGTCCAGTAAGTAGCCATTTGTTTATCTTTGTTAGTTAGAGAGCAGCGTACATGGCGTAGCCTAAGCAATTTCAACTTCAAATTACATGTATTTCCACAAAATTATGATTAACGTCACTGACTCACACTATTGGGACAAAGGGTTACCCGGACAAAACCATGGAGAAACAAAGCAAGGCGTTGTGTGCAGGTATGACAAGCAGACAGCTTTAATTTTGTACGAGTTCCAAGTGACTACGAGTTCCATGTGACTTTGAATTTTCAAAGTCATTTCAAAAACAGAAATTTTGCAGCCTCAAGCAGTCTGAAGCAGTCTTTTTAAACTATTCCAAGTCACATTAGGAATATGGCATTATTTTTTTGTAGTAGATATAGGATATTTGACTGGCTCTGGCAATAAGGCATTCCTTACACGCAATAACACAATAAATTACCCCTGCTCTGCAGCTAGCACCTGAGCACATGGCCGAATGATCAGGGTATGGAAACTTCCTTAAAAAAAACAACAAAAGAAATGGTGTGTTTACGGAAACCCAACTGACCTGGAATTTTGCTGCCAAACTGCAGACTTAAAATTTTCATTGCCATTTTGCTAGTTTATCAGTTTATGAATCCATATAATATTTGTCATGGTAATATTATGTCCAAGTCCCAAATAATTCACTGCGTATGTGCCTGCCGGCTAAATATCAACTGCCTTATTTTTTGGCCATTGAGCGCAGTGCCCTTTAAATGTATGTTAATTCCCAAAATTGTGTTGTTCTTTTTTGGGGGGAGGGGGGAGGGCCGGTTGCTGTTTTTGTACATCAAGACCCTTTTTTCTTAACAAAAACTAAAGACATTTAATAACTTAACATGATTTTCTAAATGATAAATCAACTGAAAATGAAAGGAATGAAATTCAACAGGAATGAAAAATCTGATTGGGTTTATTTATTGATCTGATTTAGGCAAAATTTTGGAGCGGGTGGTTGACATTATGTTGCTGCACGATCAGCAAACAACTTTGCACATTTGGACATGAAAACTAGGAGTGAAGACATGTAGGGTATTCACTGGTGGGATGCGATGTGTTTTGTCGGCCATGTCCTGTTTAATATGTAAACATTTTCATGTGAGGCGAGAACCCCCCCCCCCAAAAAAAACCAGCCCTGCCCGACAGAAATTAAAAATGAAGCAATTTGTTTTATATGGCCTCTTTCTTTGTTGTGCTCTTTCTCTATTTGGGTCTCAATAATCTACAAATTTTGTTCTGGTCTTTTTATTTTGCAGGTTATGCACTCCCAAAGGCTTAGCAAGAAGCCATTGCAACTATGGGTCATTGCCAGCATTGATGGAACAATCCATTCAGCCCACTGCGACTGCATGGCTGGTTTAGCTGAGACATGTACCCATGTTGGAGCCCTGCTGTTTGCGGTAGAGTTCATAAATAGACAGCGGGAAAAAAAGACCATCACCCAGGAGAAGGCATACTGGCTGGTACCATCGCTGAAGAAGGCCGACTTTCGAGAAGTTCAGCAGATAGACTTCACATCTTCTCAAAGCAAGAAAGCTAAGTTAGACAAGATTTTAGAAGGCGAAGCCCCTGCACATCCTGAGCCAAAACCAACACCAAGTATTCCAGCCCGCACCTCACAAGAGATGTCAACATTTTCACTGATATTAGCAAGTCATCATCCAAGCCGGCCATACTTTCTGTGGTTGCTCCACATAATCAGCAATTCATACCCAGAGCCACTGACTCAGAACTGCCAAAACCCCTTTCAAAGTTGTATGATGTCATTTTGCAAGGGAAGCCTTATGGTGACATTATAGCTGAATGTTGAAAGGCAATGAGTTCCTTCAAAATACCAGAAAAACAGGCCAGTCGAGATGAAGAACTTACAAGAGATCAAGGAAACTCAAAGCTATGGTACTCATTCCGTGCAGGAAGAATAACAGCATCCATGCTCAAGGCAGCATGCCACTCTGACCCTAGAATGCCATCGAAGTCCTTGATCAACACCATATGCTACCCCGAGGCAGTGAAGCTCTCCACTAAAGCCACTGAATATGGTCTTACACATGAAACTGAAGTACTGTGCAAGTATAAAGATAACATGGAACAAGGCCATAGTGATTTCATCATCCGTAAATCAGGATTTGTCATTCACCCTGAAGTACCATATCTCGGTGCATCCCCTGACAGCATAGTCAGTTGCTCGTGTTGTGGACATGGATCTTCGGAAGTGAAGTGCCCATTCAGTAAGACAGACATGATGATACAGGATGCCATTATCTCAGACGATGGTTTCTGTCTTGAAATTTCAGACAATGGTCATCCAAAATTAAAGACATCCCATGCATTTTACTATCAGGTGCAGTTCCAAATTTTCTGCACAAACACAGAGTACTGTGATTTCGTTGTGTGGACTGGCAAAGACTTGCACTGGGAGCGAATTTTACAAGATCAAGATTTCTTGGAGGTTTGCATGCAGAGAGCACACAGTTTTCTCTTACTAGCAGTTTTGCCAGAACTCTTAGCAAGGTTCTATTCTTCACCAGCAACTACTGCAGTAAGTGCACAGAATGGAGATACCATGTGCTACTGCCATAGTTCAAGGGATACTGCAACCAAGGAGGTCATGACCTGTAGCTACAAGAAGTGTCCATATGGCATCTTCAACAAGAAGTGTTTGCGGTTCACCAGCTTGAATCTCACTGAACATCAACAAAAACTGAAAAACTGGTACTGTCCTCATTGTGTCCAGCTTGGTGTTTCTAAAGGTGTTAATGAGGAATAAAAATGTACCTTTCTTCAGTACTTCCTACTGTCAATCATCCAAATGTGACCTGCTGTGGCAAAATATACCATATAAAAGAACAACTCATTAGCTGTATAATACCAAATATCTTTCTGTAGCTTGTTTACTTCCAAAGATATGTCGGTAGAAAGTCGGTAGTGCGTTTCCAAACTTCCGTGACTTCATTTGAGAAAAACAGCTTTGAAAAAAAAAGTTCTGCATTGAGTGTTGTGCATTGCTTCATGTGCAATGTGTACGTACGTACACGTGTGACACAACTTTGTTACATTGTGAACAGTTCCTGTAGGCATGAGCTGTAGGCACGAGCTCACAGATTGGATCGGTGATTGCAATACGTCAAAATATCTAAGAAACAAGACTTACAGTACATGCTCTATTGCCTATTCCTCATTTAGCAGGTCACATATCTGTTTCCAATGTCATGGAGCTGGCAAGCAGAGTACTTTGGGCACAAAATCTTTGCTTAGCAAAAAAAAGGTTACCTCCTATACGTGCACGATATTATACAAATATTGACTGCTTCGAGTGGTGTAGTAAAACTAACCTCCTGAGGTGATCCATTAAGTATTCTATTTTTCTTCACCTCAGGGGAAATAGAATGCTCCATGGATCACCATCTAAGTACAAGTACAATTGAAATGTCAGTACATGTACTTCTATTTGAATACCAAATTAGTTGAAAATGTACTTGCACTTTTCCAAACTACCAAATTCACAAAATGTTTGTACCCAGCTCTGTAGCACTAAAACTTTTAACATGCACACCCATGTACACAGTACATGTACTTTAGTTGCTATGGGTATATTTCTTTGATTGCTAGGGCGTAGTACTTTTGACGGTGCACAGCAAGGTAGCAAAAATAGCGAATGCCATGTGACTCGCTCTTGGCCAATCAAGATACAGAATGTGTGGCTGATGTGTTATAAAGCTTGCTAATTTCTTGACCAAGCTTGATTTGCACTTTAATTTGCAAAGCCATTTCCTACAAATGTATTCCTGAGGTGACATACCCAGCTCAACAAGAGAGGACTGGGAAATGAAAATATTCTCAGTCTTTTCATCAGTGCCCCCCCCCCCCCCCCCCAGTATAATTGATCTTGGTGTTATGCGATCAATCTTACCCATCATCTGCAGTTTCCTCACTGAACGCACCATTAACACTAAACTCAATGGTCACTTGTCTTCTGTTCAGGACATTTCCTGTTGGGTACTGCAAGGTACTAAATTTGGGACCTATCTTGTTTTTGCTGTTGGTTAATGATGCAGCAGCTGGAGGCTGCAGGAGTTGGAAGTATGTAGCTGATTTAATGATGGGTGAAATTGTCAGACAAGGTCAGACATCTACATTGTAACATGCAGGCCTCTCTGGATGACTCGTCAAAATTGTGTTCCGTACTGCCCAAACCATCTAAATGTCATTGAAATAAGCTTTGCAAGAGGTGCGAACACACAGTCGTCCTTTATCATAAATACTCTACCTCTTAACAGTGTTGCATCAGTAAAACTGCTAGGAGTAACTGTTCAGCACTACTTGAAGTGGGAGATTCATATAGCAGTAGCAGACATTGTTGCTAAGGCCTCTTGAAGATTGTACACGTGTATTCTAAGGAAAACTTGTCCACTGGTTTCTGACCTAATAGCTTGTTTTATTCATCCCATGTTTATTCATCCCATTTTGGAGTATGCAAGCCCAGTTTGACACAGCTCTATAAGCGATAAGCAATCTATGGTAGGGCCATGGGCCTTATTCACGAGTCGGTCATATTGGATTGAGAGTGAGGTAAAATCTTGATTTTTGGAACTTGTGTAGACAAATGAAACCAACTTAATTTCTAATTAATTCCAGTCTGCTTCAATGAATAATTTAACATTCCCTTATGTTTCAAACCAGATTTAAAAACAAATGACAGTAAATAAGGCTGCATTGTGCCTGCATAAATAGTCTGGCGCCATCCCATTCAAAAGTTAACAATTAATGAAATACATTCAGGGAACTCGACAAAAATGGCCAACTCGTGAATAAGGCCCAATGAAAGTGTTCATAAGCATGCTGTTCGAACCATTACAGGTTATACAATGTAGGTATGATTCATACACTTCTGCACTCAGCACACTAGATCTCCTAAACACTGGAATCTAGGAGTCAGGCGCATGGGCGTCAATCCTGGGGGGGGGGGGGGGGGGGGGGGGGGGGACATGTCCCACCCACTTTTTGAAGGGTGGGGGACACAATATCAAATGTCCCCCCAGATTTTTGAACTCGTGCCTCATTTACAGGGCCCTATTATGTACTACAATGTATCTTTTGCTAAGAAAATATTGGTTAAAGTGGTCAGAAATTGCATCAGATCGCACCACAGAGCATTCAGAATCCAAAATTTTTCGGGCCCTCAGGCCCCGAACCCCACGCCTTTAGCTTAGAATATAATAGCTTATTCAATTACTTCAACCTCGAAAATGATGTTTAAATCATTATCTTTTGCTTAGGCCAAAAAAAAAAAGTCTCCGGTTTCTGGTCTGGAGCTTGCCCCAAAAGTGGTGCGGCGACGCGGCTTTTTTTTTTTTTTTTTTCCTGTTTTTTTTTTTTTGGCTTCAAATGTCGGCTGATGACTGCAAATGGTGCCCGACTAAACTTTGTGCAAATATATGCGAGTCCAGAGAGGCCACATAAAGATTATTCTCGATCATAACCCCATCTAAAAACACGTTAAAATTGTGCAGCAGCAGAATTCCAGTCAAACCAGTGAGTTTGGCGGTTTTGAGACATCATCTTGTATTGAAAAAAAAACTTTTTCATTTTGCCGACGCGCATAGCTGCGGCGACGCGCGCGCATACCAGAAACCGGAGACTTTTTTTTTGGCCTTAGAAAATATTGGTTAAAGTAGTCAGAAATTGCCTCAGATCACACCACATGAGCATCTAGAATCCAAATTTTTTTCGGGGCCCTTAAGCTGGCCCCGAACCCCACGCTGTAAGGGCTTCGCACTTCGCGCTCGCATTATTTCTGATCAAGGTATGTCCCCCCTTTGTCAACTGGTGTTGTTGAGGCCCTCAACAACACCAGTTGACAAAGACACCGTGATGATGTCGCAAGCTCCTGATACGAGTTTCATGATTAAAGTCTCAAAAAGGTATTTTTTATTTAATTCATGGTTAAGTTGTTTTAATCTATCTTATTCATTCAATATATTTGTGCAATGTCAGCCTTGTGGCTGCCTGTTTCAATTTTTTTATAAACCAGAATAATAATCGTATTATAATAATAATATCAATGTATACCTTGCCAGAACAGATTCGAATTGTCAATGTCAATGTGTGCCCTTGTTTGGAAAATTTGCTTTCAAAAAGTAAAAACCTGCATAATAATAAAAAATATATCACATAATACCTGCAATCTCATCAGGCATACACATGTACATTTAAGTAATTATTTATCGCAGATATTTTAATCTGCATTGCAAATGATCGACATGAGCCGCCATTTCAATTCACTACCCTGAATAAATCATGAGACTCTTTTAGATCAATAGTAATGATTACAAACAGATAACTTATTTTGTATTTACATGTATTTAACATGCAATGCTAAAATGTATTTTATCAATTATTTATTAACAACATTTTTAGTGAGCAATAAATGACACACTCATCTGTTTGTTCAAGGTACTCTTTATATTTGTTTCAATTCCTTTATTATTACATGTACATACCTTTCAAATTTGAAATGAGTTGCCAGGTTGTGTAATTTTCTTTCTGATATGAAAACTTGACTGAAAATAAACTACCTGTCCAACTTATTGCATGCCCCCTTGGAACATTTGATAGGACTACACTTATCCACTTAGTTGAGTTAAACAACAGAGTTACTCAAATTTGTAAGTGCATAGCTTAGTCTGGCTATTTTGTCCATAGTTGTCCAACCCTGACTATCTTTTGTCTGTAAGTAGTCAATGGGAATCTGCCCACCAAGAATTCTGTATTTCTTACGAACATTGCCAATACACCTCTCCACATGAATCCTAACATGGGTTTCCTTGTTACCATTATTTCTGCAGGTGTAAGTTGTTTTTTGCCATGAGTAAATGCTGGTTATTTTACCTCTGCACACTGCATGCCTACACTTTCAGCAATGTCAAAACCACGGTCGGCAAGAACTAAATCACCTGGTTCTAACTTCATCAAAAATCCACAATTCTCAGTTATATGTTTGTCAGATGCTCTACCTCCCCATGCTTTGGAAAGATAGGAGATTGTTCCCTGGGGTGTGATACCAATCAAATATTTGATAGTATTGTGATGCTTGTAGTTGCTCCAAGTTTGTGCTCTAGCAAGTAGATTTGAAGGCCGGTCAACGAAAACCTCAAAGCAGTCAATAATGACAGCCACACGCTTCCCAAAATGCTCTCGGAATTGCATTGGCATGGTTAAGTGAAGCTCTTCTCTCTCTGGCCACAGGATCAAAGAATTCAGTCTTGCAAAAAGAACATCTAAAGTTAAGTTAAAAATCCTTGAAATTGTGGACTGAGCAATATCAAATCTGTATGCCAAATCACATTCTGACAAATTTAACCTGAGCCTCATAAGCACAATCATCATTTGTTGAAATTTGGACATGGCTGAACGGTGGGTTACAACAATATGTGGGGATACAAGATTAAAAATAGCCATCAAAATAGTGTATGTAGGTAGCCCAGTATAGTATCTGTTTTTTTTATCATTCCCTGCTAAACTTGCTTGACTCACAGAGTTTGTAAGCTCAACCTGGTCATGGAGTTGAGAAATTTGTTCACCTTGGTACAAAGTGTGGTGCACAATACAGATTATGTCTTGTCCAGTTAAATCAGCTTGTGACATCACATCTTGAAGGTTGGGTCTCGCATTCTCAGTATCCTTGTGGGGATCATCAGCTTGGCTTGTTGAACTATGCAGTAAAGGTGACTGGTTACCATGCTGTACCGTTCCTGTTGGGTGGCTGCATGCTTCATGGGATTCCTGCCTGTTCTTTGCTGCCTCTTTGATCTCATGTTGGACTTTTCTTCGCTTCTTTGCTCTCTCTTTTCGCTCTGTAGTTCCCTGGCTTGGTCGCTTCACCTTGTCATGACCCAGACACAGTGTTGGAACCCAGTCAATGCTGGATGTTTCCCAATCCCTAGCACTTCTGCCTGCATCACATAGTAAACATAAAATAAAAACATATTCATCAAATACAGTACTGCTGGTACATAAACTGCTGAACATAACCATTTTGATAAATTGGGGCCAAAAGGGTGTGCTTCAGCACTGTTTTTTACTTGATATATTCACCATGGCAGATTTTTACCTGGTTATATTTTTTAAAAGTCTGTTTCTGTAAGTGTTCAGTAATTCTGTAATTTGTGAAACTTAGTTAAGTAGTTTATCCAAAAAAATTGCAATATTTTCAGCAATTTCCTCTGGGTCGCAAGTTATGTACACTAGACCTTTTGAAGTTGATTATCCTGGGTATTTACAAGGTTACAGGTACATTGTTAGTATCTTCCCATGAAAAACAGACCCAATTTCCGAGGGGAAAAAATGCACAGTTGTGTGGCTCTATAAATAACAGGAAGACATAACCACGATATTGACATACCAGAACCAGCAAGTTCTGAATTTTCTTCCCCCTCATACCGGTACATGTCATACAGTGTTAACATTTAATTCACCACTTCTTGCCTTCCAGAATTCCAGGCCTTCCAGGTTCAATAGGGAAAGATTCTCATATGAAATATGGTATCTGGTCATCACTATGTTTTCTCTTCAGTTACCTAGTACTAGTACTAGCAAAGCTCCATGGAACTAGGTCTGTGGTATCAGCCATCAGAAAGTGATAGGCATATGTCCTAAAAAAATATAATGTAGCAGGGAAACATTCAAGTAAATTAGGCCTAGCTAGGCCTACTGAAAAAAACACTTAACATGCTTAGAACTTGAATTTTCAGACCAGATACGGTTTGTGCACAATAAGATTAAGAATTAAAATGGCCAAATATGGGAATCTTTCCTTCTATAGGCCTTTATAAAGTAGGCATATACAAAAAAATAGTAGCTAATCCTTACCGCTGACAAAATGGCGAGAACAGACTCTAGCATGCACGCTAAAATCGTTTGTATCTGCCCGGCTGATGGCAGAAATCCACAATCGCCTACGTTTTTCCGTGAGCTCTCTCTCTTTGTTACCATGATGCAGTTGGATTTTAGGGATACGAAAAAAACGTTACAGTCAGTGCGCAGGGTTCGGAAAGTGCTTGCGTTTATTTGCAGCGTATGCATAACTCGCTTGGTAAAATGAATATTCATGAGATCGGGGACCACATTTGGAAATTCATTTTCTTGATAACCAGTCTTTAAAAGAAAGTTTTTACTCACAAATATAGTAGAGAATACTAAAGCCTAATTGTGAAATGAAATTTCTAAAATTTTCATAAAGTATTTTAAGAAATATGAGGATGAAAGTTTTACTGAAATTGTCGAGAAATTTCGGTTTGCGAAAACCGTCTTTTTTCTATATAAAACGAAACCATGCAGCATCATCTTACAGTTCGATGAGAAGCTTTGTTATTAAATTCACAAATTTTCATAACCATGAATCATGTGAGTACTCAAAACAGTCAGGAGCACGCAAAATTTACGGCCATTCTGAACGTTCCGGGTACGAAAAAAATGACACTCTGGAAGCAAGTGTAAGCGCCGCACGGCATGAGGGTACATTCCTCATTGGGCAAGACCCGCAACCAACACGCGTTTTGACCAATCACGTAACAGCACACGGGTCTTCCGTATGTCGGGTACCCAGCTCTACGCGTGCTTATGGATATCGTATAATCTCGAACTAAATGTGCCCAACTATAGAAAATAAACTGGCGATGTGTCCTCTCTCAAAACGATCTAGTTTCAACGACTGGTGTGTAAGAAAATAATATACTGTCAATGCTATTATTCTAGACCGTTATGATTTAAGATTCATGTAATAAACCATTATTTTTTGGCAATAATGTCTCCCATTTTCTTGATGCTTTTTGTTTGTTGACAGGTTCAATGTGCATGAACATGAAAAATATAAACACAAAAAACAATGTGTATGAACATGAAAATATAAACACAAATAATCAAAGGCATGTCTCTTTTTCTTGACTGAAATTCTGGAAAACGATTTAATCATAAAATCAGAACTTTTTAAAAGTCACATACTTTTAAGCTGGACATAATAGTTACATCAATGTGTTAACATATTACTTAAACCCTGGAAACTTGAACCACTCACACTTACAAAACATTGCTTACAAAAAAAGTTTCTGAAAACATAGAATGACTTAATGACATAAATATAAAACAACTTAAAAAAATGAACTTAAAAATACATGCAAGCCAAACTTTCTTCAAAGTGCAAGGTTACTAATGCTCTAGGATGTACAAACACTTTTTTGCTATATTTCATGAGCTTATAAAACAAATTCCCTACCCAAGCTTGTCCACAAGCAACTCATTCTAGGACAATAACGAGGCCATTGAACTGCTCCATTCCTCGGCAATAACAGTTAAATATGCTAACAATTACACAAATCTTTACAATTTTTACAAGATTTGTTTATATAGAATGCAGTGTACAGCCGTCTGCAGAAATTTTCATCATATTTTTGGTTTTTAAATATACAGCACACTCACAAAATGACTAACTTGAAGGGAAAAAAAGAAACAGTGGAAATTCAGCAATGATTGAATCGATTCTTCAGGGTTCTTCTTATACATGATCTGAATACAACATGCCATGAGAATCCCCGACGCCTAATTTGTGGATTGTTGATGACACGTCTTTGAATTTAGACATGCCAAATAAGGATTTCAGTCTAGTGATGTGTTGGGTCACATTGACCAGGCCAAACCAACCCGAAACATTATTTTGTAAACCGAATCCGAACGGAAACCAATTTGAACTCCCTAAAACCAACCTGATCCGACCCAACAAAAAATTAAGGAAAACCAACGCAAAAAAATGTTGCAACCTGACGCCACTTCCAGGATTGTGTACAAAGTCTATGTAGAGTCAAGACAATTTTAAGTATTTTCTAACAAAATTGGAAATTTATGAAGAAAAAAAAATGGCGTCAGGTTGCAAGATTTATCCCATGTGAATTTCCAAACTGTTTGGGGTTATTTTGGGTTGAACTGACTCAACGCAATTAGAAGACTGCAAACACAATACCGAAACCGACCTGACCCGACTAAAATGATGGACAAACTGATGGCGACCTAACAGAAAGTCAGTTTAAGTTTGGTCGGTTTCTGGTCGGGTTTGAACAACACTAATCCGGTCGCAGAATAAAGTTTCATTTCATGGTAAATAAAGTTCCATTGAAATAGTTGCGAACTGTCTGCAAGTTCAGGTGTTGTGTTCAACTAGTCTTGACAGGAAAAAGGGTCAATCACTCTGCGTACTTGGCCTGTAAGAAAAGAGAAAGAGAGAAAACAAATCTAAGTAATAATCTACATGTATTTTGCTGATTTAGCATGTTTAGCATGTTTAGGAAGGAATTGTTTTAGACTACTTCAAAAAATCCCATCCCCACGGCAAGATCTGAAAAAAGTACCAGAAAAGGATTGTTCCTCATATTTTATGACCGACATGAATTGACCGACAAGGACAATGGCTAGTGATGCCTGTATAATTTCATGAATTTATAAAAAAAAATTCTGATTTTTAATCGCTATAATTATAAACATTGATCGTACTTGCGACATGCAAAACTAACGGGTAGGAACCTATTGTCGACATCGGTGGTAATGCACCCACAAAATACGTACACAGTACACACAACCCGTACACAAAATGCACGTATGACGTCATTCGAATCGCACACTGTGACTGCAATCATGCAATTTTCGCAAATATTTCGTATCAAATTAAAATCGGCGGTGGAACCTGCAGAGATGGGAATGGTATGGTTCGTAAGCGTAACTCTTCAACTTACCAGAAAGTGACGAATTTCGTCTCCAAATATCCCCAAACAGTCAGGAGCACCAAACAAGTACAGGCATCATCGAAAATGTTTAAGAATCACCTCTCATAATGGTATTAATCGACGCAGAAATTATCGTAGTTTCAGAAATCACTCCATTTTAGTCAGCTACTGCTACGAAACGGGTTTCCCGTCCCTATATCCAGGGGCTTCACCGAACACTCGGCAAACCTCATGCAATCTCGAACGGTCCGAGGCCGTCCACGCGCTGCAAATAAAATCTCGCTGTGTGGCTCATTATCGAGTAGGCTGCGCACTGACTGGTTACCCCATCACGATGTCTACGTGATCCACAACCATAAACTACACAAACGGCAGGCATTATTTGTACATGTATTATGTTTACTGCCAAAATGATTTAGATATTGGAAACGTTCGTGTGTGTGTCTACACGTGCGCATACGACAGTACAGTGCCACGGTGATTGATATAATACATGCCCTACAAAATGGCGCCCTCGCGGTTTCTAAGTAACTCCTCTGATGAGTGACATTATATTCAATACGATCTATTTGCCTTCATCGAGGACCCCCTATTGTCCCTCTTTTGCACCCACATACACACAGAAATACAGAAGGTATAAACTATAGCAATATCCCCCTCCGGCTTATAGCTTACAGTTCACATAAAAAGCAAAATCAGATCTCTCACATTTTTATATTGATTTTCAAAGATTAAATCTAGAAATCTTTGGTTACTTGTAATCTGATATTTGATGACATCATGGTGACATAATTCCTAGAAAGCTTAACAGCTATTCTAACTGTGCGATTTGAAGCAAAGACTCTGGATTTACTCGCACTGGATTTTTTTTCAGCAATTTTTTTTTAAGGTTTAAAGGGAAAATACAACATTTGCAAACATCAAAAAATAAAACTACCAAATCATTTTGAAATACCTTGCTGGACTGTTAGTGAATGACAGTGTAAAGCATCCTGTAAAATCATGGCACCTGGTATACTGTCATTTTCAAGAAAAGTGGTATTTTTGTATCAATTTCCAACGCTGATCGGCCGATCAGCGTTGGAAACAACTGGCTTTTTTTCAAATACTGGCCCCAATTGACCATCGCACTTGTTTGCAATCGATTACAAACCTATGAACGGGTACGAGCCAGCTAGACTGGTTCCATGAACTTACAATTCCCCAATGTATGTAAACTGCTCTGTTTCTTTTTATATGGAGTCAGGGAACCAGACTTCAGGAAAATGATCGTTTTTCTTGGTTTTTATAGCATTTTCGAACCCAAAACCTCAAAAAAGTCAGTGTAACTATATTTGCTATATATTTCCAACCCCCCAATTCCATCCATTTCTGAAAATTACAGCAAAAGCAAATGATGTATATTCCCTTTAAAGATATTTCATTTTAACTTCTAGTCAAAGTTAAATATCCCTTGAACCTACTCAACTTATCACTGGATGTGGTCTTAATGTTTCAACTCAAAACTGTCTCAAGAGGGTTTGCACACCCCAATTTTTAATACAATGGAACTCCATGGTGCATGACCAGAGGAATCCGTCCAATATATCAAATGGAAAACTTACTGTCCCTAGTTTATGATAAAACCATAATAATGGTCATTGAGTTCGTAGTTGGTCCATATTATCCCTTTGTTTTCGGGTTACCTTTTTGGGGACACCCTGTATATTATAGGTATACCACAGGACATCTTCCTAAGACCAACAGACAATCCCGCATATGTGATGCGATCAAGCTACATGAGTCGTTTTTTTATTACAGATTTCAAAAGAGCACAATCTGAGCATTACTGCTGTGAAAATCGCATGCTGATACCATCTTTAGTTCAAAAATTATGGAAGTCGGAACACCAAGAGATGTGATGTAGTGATGTGATGAAGTGGCCCTATTTTGGCCTGTATCTCCACATAAAAATTCCCGACAAACGACTCATTTAGCTTGATTGCATCACATATGTGAAGGTGGATTAAAAAGTTCTATCAAGGCTGTTCTGACTACACCTGATGTCACATGCCTTCTCTTGTTTTTGCATACTTTAGATTACATTGTCTTCTGCCAGCTACAAAATATTGGTTTGGACATAACACCTGGGTGGATTATTGCCAAGCCCTTGACATGGAATCAACAAAGGAACACACGCATTTCTATATTTACCCGGCATAAACTGGGGATTCCAGCATTTATGGTGACAAGGCACTTTCAGCAATCACTGCCGAGTATTACATCACATCAGCTTTGCCCAAAGTCATTCAGCATATCCCATCAACACCTCTGACTCGAAAACAGTCTCCAATCCATCTGCACCATGACAATGCAGGACCTCACAATGCCTGCCTTACCCAGACTGTCCTGAGAGAAATGGAATAACCTTGATGGAACCCCCGCCCTACTCACCAGACCTAGCTCCATGCGACTTGTGGTTGTTTCCTAGGATCAAATCCAAACTGGCTGGGAGGCCTTTTTCACGAATCCAAGAACTTGCCAAAGCTGTCCATTAAGAATACTTCAGAGTACCACCATTACTTTGAAAGTTGGGTGAAGAGGATGCAGCGAATGATAAGGACCAAGTGAGAACACTTTTTATCCACCCTTGTATAGTGGTAACACTTACCTTCCATAAGCAAACTAACTAGTGGTGTACGATCGCTTAGTTTAGTTTGCTGGACAACAAGTTCTCCATCAGCTAGTACCCGGGTTACTGGTTCACCGAAGTTGATGATGCCATTTAGGATGTATTTGCTGAAACATTCGTCACTAACACCAAATGCCTAAATAAAGTTGAAATCAAATTAAAACAGCTGAATATTCACAATACTAAATATTCCAATGCAATTTAACGAAACTCATTCTGTTTGGTGGGTAAAAAAAAAAATATTCAATGAACTAAATACACAAGAATGGTGTAATGACAAACACCAATACACTTCTGGCCTTTGTTAAATCTCATGACTGTTTTACGGTTCACACGTCAGGCCAGCATTATTTAATTTGTTTGATTACAAACCTGCCGCCTCTTAATATTATAATTTTGAACAAAAAAAATTAATTAGAAAATTACCATTATTTTATTCTCGACGGGGGATATTTAATATTTTGAAAAAAATATATAAAATGATTGTAATCAAGTTTGTTTTCCAAAATTTTGAGGGAAATGAAAAATCAAAACAAAGGACTTTTCGTCCACTCGCCTATCCAACTATACATGTTTGTCAGAACATTGTTTGTAGTTCACTGCGCACTTCAAAATGAATCGCATAATCGTGTCATAGTAAATTTGTCACTGAACTCTGTAACGGGGAAGATAAACTCAAAGTTTAGGCATTTATATGAACGGAAATGTTTTGAGCTTGACAAAATTTTACTTTAAACTGTGAAATTTGAGGTAAAACGTTTGCTCTAGCAAGGTACTGGAGTTAAGAGGCAAAAAGTCAAAGTGCGCCATGTTAGGTCAATGTACACTGTAGGAGACATCAACAAATGCGCACTACTATCGTTGTTTGTGCTTGTAAAAAAAGGTATTTTGAAAATGTTATTTTTATTCCTTTTTTTATTCCTCTTGTTTACCACTTATCTGCAAACCCACCAGGATAACAATCCTCTGCTACTCTCATCGACACTTTTAATTATCTTACCCCCACCAAAATCTGGTATCATTGTGACTGACTTGTCTGATCACTTTCCTGTATTTACCTCCTTCCGATTCACTATTAATCATTCCAATCACCAACATGTGAAATTGTGCACCATGAGAAAATCTTGCAAATTTTAAACAAGGATTTAAATCTTGTGACTGGATGTTGGTTTCTACTGCCCGGGATGCTAATTTATCCTTTGTGAATTTCATGAATACTTTAAATACATTATTCCTCTTAAATAAAACAAGACAGTTTTTCATGCGCCAAATATGTATGCTATAAAATATGCTGACTAATGTCTTTCATAGTCCTAAACACAGTTATTATGCTAAACAGTTTATGAAAGAAGAAAGGCAATATTACAAACACTTGAAAAGTAATTAGGTGATGGGCTAATTGTAAGAATTCACTATTTTTAGGTGTTGGGCCTTGAGCCCAAAACCTATTGTTATTGTAAGAATTTACTATTATTATTCTCCAAGACACAATTCTTCTCCAGAACTGTTTGTCAAAATGGAAACATATATGAACTTCATTTGTCAATACATGAATGCCCAATCCACCGCAGATGTGCTTTTTTGCAATTACGTAATCATGACGCCATCATGGGTCACGTGATGTCACTCGCAAGTTTAATAAATTTAATCTTTGAAATTCCATATAAAATCAACCGTGAGAGACCGGAACCGGAAATTTGCGGGAATCGACATGGTAATACATGATCTTAATTTTATGTTGTACGCGTAAAATCACGTGACCCTTCCTTCCGGTCGAAACCGGAAGTGCCTAATAATTTAAAAGTGGAAAAAGATGTGAACTTGCTGTTAACGATTTAAGTGTCTGCCTGGATTGACCTTTCAAAAAAAATAATGGGTGACGCCATGAAGTGTTGGAGCGCCCTCTAGCGGCAGGTTAAAAAAAGTCAAAAATGCATTTTCACTTGATGTCTGTGGCGAAGTTTGCGGTAATCGCTTCAAAATTAATGTACATGATGACCATAATGCAGACAACATCTGTGCGCAAAAAAAAATTGATTACGTCATCAGACCGGAGGTTACAATAAAAAGACCTTTAAACCTTAAAAAATTGCTAGAAAATATACCGTGATAGATATAATCAAGATTTGGCTGTATACAGCACAGTAAATATAGCTCTGGAGGTTTCTGGTAATGACGTCATAATGACGTCATCAAGTGTCGTATTACAAGCAATCAAAGATTTCTAGATTTAATCTATGAAAATCAATATAAAATCAACTGCTACAGATTTGATTTTGTTTTTTATGGCAATCAATACAATACGGCAGGGTCTTCATTTTTGGTATTAAGTGCAAAATCACATGACCCTTCCGGCCGGTCAAAACCGGAAGTGCCTTTTTATTTGAAATTGGCAGAAGATGCGAACTTCCTTTCAACGATGTGAGTGTCTGCCTAGGCAGTACTGTACACAAATTTTACAGGTGACGTCATCAAATGTTAGAGCGCCCTCTGGCGGCATGTTGAAAAAGTCAAACATGGATTTAAACATGCATATTTTGAGTTGATGTGTGTGGCAAAGTTTGCAGTAATTCATGGCCCAACACCGTTTGGTTGTTCCTACAACCTCAAGTTGAGTGGTCGGGCACAACCCGACCACTCTTTGGATCTGTTACGATTAATCTTTCCTTCTTTCTTTCTTTTTTTTTCCAGACAATACTTCTCCACGGGTTTTCTCTTAAACGGTATATGGTATGAACTTGTAACTTTCAATATATATCGACCCTCATCCAAAGTGGTGCATATTACTCTGACGTTATGATTACGTCATCAGGTGTCAAATTACAAGTGATTTCATCTGACAAAGTGACCAATTACTTTCACCTATAACTCTTGAACTAAACATTTAATGATGTTTGTATTCTGTAATCAGATAGACCATTAATCGCTAAACAGTTTTTGTCGTGTACGTGAACTCGCTTGACCTTTACTTCCGAGTCTACAGGAAGGTCAAAGTTAGGTGAATTCAAAATGAAGACGTTAGCCTGATATCAAAACAAAGCAGCATTTCTTCCGAACGGTTCACGGTATGATCACAAAACCTTGTGTGAACTTGTACCATGTTACGAAGATGTTATAAATTGTGTTACGTCATCATGACGTCATCAGGTATCAAATTACAAGCGATTTAAGGGCAAATTTTGACAAAATAGTTTGCGTTATATCATTTGAACTAAATAGAGTATCGTGTTCGTTTTTTCGTGAGGTTGTAGACTATGCCGTGAGAAACATTTCGTGTTCCCGGACGCAAAACCCCTTGACCTTTACTTCCGGTGTTACCGGAAGTGCAATAAAAACTGAATAAAACTCAAAAGCGGAAGCATTTTACTACAGACATATATACATGTATTATGAAAGTGTTTAGTGAGGAATGCAACATGCAAAAAACAGTGTGATGATGTCAACATCCGAAAATTGTAAAACCATCCGTCCACATTTTACCAAATTGCCCCTTGACATTCTCTGATTAACCACAGATAACTTGGCAAGGTTTCAAATTCATAACGTCATCAGACCGGAAGTTACTTTAAGGAGAATTTGAAAAAGATCATAGTTTTAATTTAGTTCTATCATTTGATCCCTTTCATATCTTCGAAGTCCAAATAATAATATCCATTACAGTGTTCACCTTTGGATCTCTAATGCTGTGACGTCATCAAACCGGAAGTTAGGGGTTATTAATACAAACAATTATATTTCCCATATTTTCATACGTTATTTTATCTTTACAATGAAAAATTATCCTCTCCGAACTTTATCAGTATTTACTGACAGTTTTTGACTGATGACGTCATCAAACCAGAAATAACTTTTTTTTGTGCACATAGAATGTTTACTGAAATTTATCACACCGTTAAAGATACCTTTTTGAAACATATTGATTGTACTTGAAGGGATTTAATTTCGTGATCCTTTTTTTACATAAACATATATTCCTAACTTAACTGGGCAGCGTATAATGAAAAGGCTGTCTGCCCGACCACTCTGCGTTTGTAACTGAACAAACGCGAAACTCTAGTTGTTTTTGTTATTCTTCTTCTCAGCAAATTCTTCTCCAGAATTGTTTGTCAAAATGAATACATATATGAACTTTAATTGTCAATACATGAATGCACAACCCACCGAAGATGTGTTTTTTTGTAATCATGTCATGATGACATCATAATGGGTCACGCGATGTCACTTGAGGATTAATAAATTTAATCTTTGAAAATCAACAAGAAATCACACATGAGAGACTGTAACTTGACTTTACAGGAATTGATATGATAGCTCATGATCTTCATATTATCTTGTGTGCATCAAATCACGTGACCCGTTCCTCCGGTCCAAACCGGAAGTGCCTAATAATTTGAAATTGGAAAAAGATGTGAACTTGATTTCAACGATATTTTTTCAACATTTTTCAAAAAAAAAAAGATCGGTGACATCATGAGATGTTGGAGAGCCCTTTAGCAGCAGGTTAAAAATGTCCAAAATGCATTTTCAGTAGATGTGTGTGGCAAAATTTGCAGTTATCGGTTCAAAATGAATGTAGCCCGAACGGTACGCTGAAGTGCGCCCTCAAGCGGTTATGAGACACGCGTGTACTGTAACCATGGCAGGCGCCATGTTCGCACATGTTTTGGCGAAATTCCCGCAGTGAAATGCCAAGATTCTTGCTATAAGTCAACCGTTAGTTTGACATTGATTGAAAATCCTACAGCTTGTGGCTCTCAGGTGAGAATAAGTGAAGGATAATGGGATGATTATAACATTTGGGTTGATTTTTGATGATAAGTTGTGTTGATAATTGATGTTGAAATTAACGTTAATAATAATAATAATAACTGTATTTATATAGCGCTTTTTGCCAGAGGATACAAAGCGCTGGGGAGAATGCAACCAAAGCCAGGTAAATGAAGTACATGTATATGAACATTATGAGACCCATTATGTAGCACCTTTTTGCAAGGTGCTGAGGCGCATAATTGCTGCCACTGCCAGAAACACCGGGGCAAACCCCTCCTCTTAGCGACAAGTGTTACTGGGTTCTTTAACGTGCATTACACAACACACGGGACCTACGGCTTTACGTCCCATTCGAAGGACGAAGCAATAATGGTAAAGTGCCTTGCTCAAGAGCACAAACACCATGTTCCCACGGTCAGGATTCGAACCCGTGTACCACGGCACACGAGTCGAACACCGTAACCATTGGACCACAGCGCCCCACCGCATCATCAGCGCTGGTGTTATAGATTTTGATCTAGAGTTCCGTCTGAGTTTTCAAATGAAAGGTTTTCTAGTTCAGTATAAGTTATAGACTAAGTAGTGGTTTGTTCATTTGTCTGACCCAAGGTGTGTTGACCCCAATGTGGTCCATGTGGCTTACATGAATATATATGTTGTGAACTTATTTTCAACAGTCGCTGCCTGATGTCATAAAATGTTAGAGCGCACTCTAAAGGTATGTTCAAGAATGTAAAAATGCATTTTGAGTTGATGTGTGTGGCGAAGTTTGCAGTAACCGCTTCAAACATGATAACCCAACACTGTGTGTTTGTCAATACAAACTCTAGTTAGGTGCAGCCCAGCACCTAATGTTTTTCTACTACGAATTTACTATTGTTAGGTGTTGGGCCACGAGCCCAACACCTATTGTTATTGTATGAAATCAATGTTGCATTTATTCTCCTCAGCAAATTCATTTCAAGAACTGTTTGTCAAAATGAAAACATGTATGAACTTCAACTGTCCATACATGAATGCACAACCCACTGAAAATGTGCTTTTTTGTAATTACGTCATTATGATATTATCATGGGTCACGTGACATCAATTGAAAGTTAAATAAATCCAATCTTTGAAATTCAATATAAAATCATTGGTCAGAGACTGGAACTTCAATTTTGCGGGAATCGGTATAATACATGATCTTCATTTTATCTCCTGCGTGCAAAATCACGTGACCTTCCTTCGGGTCGAAACTAGAAGTGCCTTATAATTTGAAAGTGGAAAAAGATATAACATTGCTTTCAACGATGTTAGTGTCTGGCTAGTTTGACCTATCCAAAACAACGATCGGTGACGTCATCAAATGTTAGAGGCTCCTCTAGCGGCAGGATAAAAAAATTAAAAAACGCATTTTTATTGGATGTCTGCGGCAGAATTTGCAGTAATCGCTTCAAAATTATTACATGATGACCTAAATGCAGAAAAGACCTGTGCGCGAAAAAAAAATAATTCAAAAACTATTCAACCACATGGTCTCAACATCCAACTTGGAAATGATTAATCCTTTTCTTCCTCCATTGTCTTCTGTTACAGATAATCCATCTGGTCTTCCTTGTTTGTGTTTACCCATCTTCCCCCATCTTTCATCCCTTTCCACCTCAATACTGTTCCCCCCTCCCCACATCATCCCTTCACTCTCACACTCTTTTGTCCGTTCCCACTCCCTGTGACCTTTGATCCTTCCCCTTTCTGGTCCCTCCCCTGTTTACACAAGACCCCTTGTGGTTTGCCATCTCCCTTTGTTTCTTTGTTCTCTCATCCACCCTCCCCTGCATCTTTCCACACCTTTCACACCTAATCCTCCTTTTGTGTTTCTTCTTTCAGCCCTGCATGTTTGTGTGCACCCCCATGTTAATGTATGTTTTAGTTGTTATATTTCTGTTTTAGCCGAAGAACTTGCTAAGTTCGCAACGTCAGGCCACATTAATTTTAAGATTTATATATTTCAGGTCCATCCAGTCAGTAAGCAGTTTGCAGCAGTTTTACTTTTTTTCAAAAATTAATGACGTCAGAACGGAAGTTATAATGAAAAGACCTTTCAATCATAAAAAATTGTTGAAAATCAATCGCAACAGATATAATCAAGATTTGGCTATATATAGCACATTTAACATAGCTCTTGAGCTTTCTGGTAATGACATCACGGTGTCATCATCGAGTATCATATTAAAAGAAAATAAAGATTTCTACATTTAATCTTTGAAAATCAATATAAAATCAACTGTTAGAAATTTGATTTTGTTTTTTATGGCAATCGATACAATATTGCGGGATCTTCATTTTTGGTAATAAGTGCAAATCACATGACCCTTCTTTCTGGTCGAAACCAGAAGTGCCTTATAATTTGAAATTGGCAAAAGATGTGAACTTGCTTTCAACGATATGAGTCTGTGCCTAGTCTGTACTTTACAAAAATATTACAGGTGACGTCATAAAATGTCAGAGCGCCTGTTTTAATAAGCCTAACATGCATAAACCGAAAGTGCCTTATAATTTGAAATTGGCAACAGATGTGAACTTGCTTTCAACGATATTACAGGTGATGTCATAAAAGTTAGAGTGCCCTCTAGTGACATGTTGACAAAGTCGAACATGCATTTTGAGTTGATGTGTGTGGGGAAGTTTGCGGTAATCAATAGCCCAACACCGTGTGGCTGTTCCTACAACCTTTAGTTAAAGGGAATATACAACATTTGCAAACATCGAAAAATAAAACTATCAAGTTTTTACGAAACACCTTACTTGGATGTTGGTAAATGACAGTCAAAAGCATCCTGTAAAATTATGGCTCCTGGTGTGAAGTCATTTTCAAGAAATTGGCATTTTTGTATACATTTCCAACAGTGGTCAGCCGATCACCGTTGGAAAAACCTAACTATTTTTCAACTTCTGCTTCAAATTTACCATTTTTTCAGTCCAAATTTTGTTTGCTATTGGTAACATGTTCATGAACGGGTGCAGGCCAGCTACACTGATTCCCTTAACTTACAATTTTCCGGCATCTATAAATTGATCCATTTTATCCTTAGTGGAGTCGGGGAACCAGACTACTTGAACATTTTCGTTTTTCTTGGTTTTTCCAGCATTTTCGAACACAAAACTACAAGTATGTCAGTGTAACAATATTTGATCTGTTATACTAACCCCTCAAGTAGTTCATTTCTTAAAATTACAGCAAAAGCCAATGATGTACATTCCCTTTAATATTGTTATTCAGAATAAAGCTAGTTGTACTAACCAGTAACCCCCTGACTACTGCTAATCACTTTAATAACTATTTTACAAATACTGGTATTCAAGGGGGTTCAAAATAAAGGAAATTCACTTTTTTGACAGCAATTTCCACTTATTTCACTTGCTTCTTCACATAAGTGTAAAATAAAGCCCTTTAACCATGCATGGTGAATGAAAGCTTGGCAAAAGTTGCAAGAATAGTGATATTCTGCTAATTTGAATGCAAGTCACCTAAATCCGTCTTGTCCACGTGATATATGTAAATTAGACATTTTTGTAGTTCCAAAAATTAGAAACCTTGCCCACATAATGTTTTGACCTGGTAACTTTGATTGAGGCTGTCCGATTATCCATGTCAGTGTTAAGATCATTGTTGCATAACATTACATAATCAAATGTCATGGTTGTCACCCTTTAAGAGAAAAAGTAGCATTAACAATCCTTGTTTGAAGTGTGCTAATATTTTGTCTTCAAATCAAGCTCCGATAGCTCAGCTCAGTTAAGTGGATGGATGTATACCTCCGTAGACAAACAGGTTTCGCACATGAAATTTTCAAACTACCACAGCTCAGAGACAAAATATGCAATTGCACTGATTTCTTCATTACTTATGCTTAAAGGCCAGTACTTTATAGCTACTAATCCAAAGTTTTTAAAAATTTTTTTTAAATAAGTCAAAAGTGCTGTCAAAAGTGGATTTTCTTTATTTTGAACCAACCTGTATAGTAAAGGTAGCACTTTAATGACAAAACAAATATAAACTAAAGTTTGAAGGGACAAACACACAGTGTTGGGCTAGAGGTTTGGCTTTTTCGCATTGTTGATTGTTGACGTTGATTGTTGATGTTGATTGTTGATTGAATTTGACGATGGTTATTCATGTTGATGTCAACTGTTGATTATTGATATTTGACCGTTTTGGTACCCCACAAGTTTTTCACGAAATAGATATATGGATTTTACTCAAAAACTAGGAATTTCCAAGGTGGGTTGATCTGTCGCAAATGGAAGAGTTTTAGAAATGGGATATTAAGTCTGAATTTCAGCCCAGGAAATTAACTATGGTTAAAATAAGAGCATTTTGACATAAGTGTGTGACGTTGCAAAATTTTAGTACACGAGAACAAAGGAAGTACCCCACTTCTATGCCTATGTAAGTGTGTGTGTGTGTGTGTGGTGTGTGTTTGTTTGTTATAAGTGGGGATCTCTACTGGAAAAGCAGTCCTTTTTGGGGACCCCACCCACATTTACCCTTTTCTAATAATTATTGTGCTATTGAGTTTATGATGTATGACATTGTGTCTTGTAATGTGGAACATAAAGTGATAAAGTAAGGTAAGTTCCCCAAAACTAACCCAAATATCATGTTTGAAGTTGATTTGTCCAGTATTTCTCAATTTATGTTAGGAAAACCATATCCAATGTGTTTACTAAAACTTGATTTTTGATCTATGGGGTAGCAAACAAATAGGCTTCCGGCATGGGCGGCGCCAGGATTTTTTCTAGAGGGGGGCAAAACATATTTTTCCCCAAAAATTCTTGTATTTCTGAACAAATTCTCGATTTCTCAGTTTTAGACGGTGGCAGGGACATTTTGCCCCCCCCCCCCCAACTCATTAAATTTACACCACTATGACTTCGCGCCTCTTTTTCTTTTCTTTTTTCTTCTTTTTTTTTCTTCCTCTTTTATAATATTTTTTTTAAGTTGCTTTTCCAGAGGGGGGGGGGGGGGGGGGACAAGCGTCCCCCTTGACCCCCCTCGTGACGCCCATGGCTTCTGGGAGAGGGATTTTTGAGATATCTTGCTAAAACCAATTACTTGCACATCCACACATATAAGGCAGAAAAACAATATGCCCCTTTTACTTCACCCGCAGGGCATAAAAATATACTTACAGGTTTGATATCATTTTCCAATGCGATCATAAAATCTGATTTCTGAACTTGCATTTTCTGTGCTGCTTCATAATCCACTTCAACTTTTGAAGAGGCCTGTAAAGAAAAAAAAACTTTTCTATGATCACATGGCAACACAATTTTTGCAATCTGATCAACAAACTAGAAAAAAATGAACGTGGCATGAAGCTATCCTGCTGTAGAACACTGTCCTACATTGTGTTAGTTATTACAATTAATACCCTGTAGTATAGTTTGCGTACAGATGTACAATATCGATTGAAGCACATACTCTGCAGTGGCATAGTACTGTCATTTTTATTGGGGGGGGGGGGGGTAAAAATTTCTTGAAAAGGGCACAGTTTTTTTTTTCCAGACACTTTGCCTTCATAAAATCAAAAAGTGTGGGGGGGGGGGGGAAGGGCACCACTTCTTTTTAAAAAGGGCACTTGTTCAGAAAAAAAAGCACTTCCTGAAAAAACGGCACTCTTTACAAATTATTGGGGGAGGGGAAAGCTGGTGAAAAAAAGAGGGCATTTGAATGGAAAAGGGCAGTCCTTAAAAAATATTATTTTTTTTAAACCCCCCCCCACTGGCTATGCCTATGCTCAGGCAATCTTCAATGCGACATTACAGGATAAAATTTAACCCCCTTGCAAAACTACACTCTTGGGATGTGCTTTAAGGTACGATGGTGCTTCTTCAATTTTTAAATTAAATAGGTTTACAGACACCCTTGATTCTTTGTAACCTAAATCTGGATTGCAGGTCTTGTGACAGAAGGTTTTAAAACTTGAGTACATTGTAAACAGATTGCATTTAAACGTGTAGACATCATTTCCATAAATGCACAAAATTATCAAGAATAATTTGAACTTATAATTCACATTTTCACGTGTGGTCCACTTTTCAACTCATGTTGATTATTGTGCTTATCCTAGAAGTTTAAAGCAAGCACAAAATTTTTTTTGTACACAAAATGTTCAAAAATATAAATAAACGTATACATTTATATTTATATAAAGTTATCCATTGTTATTTTGACTTCAACTTCCATGTAGTTTGAAACAATATGCCATCATAATGACACCACAGAAATGATGTTATCACATGGATCTCGATCATTAATACAATAATAATAATAAGATCAAACTTATACAGTGCAAAACATAACTGAAATAAATCTCGATGCGCTTTACAAAACAAAAAACAATGCTAGAAACAAAAATTACTATGTGAGGTCATAAGCCTCATAAAAATAGATGAGACTTGAGCGTAGTTTTGAACCAGTCCAATGTGTCCACAGAGGGGTAGGAAGGGCGTTCCACAGCCTAGGTGCAGTGTGTGAGAACGCCTTGGAGCCATATGACTTGGTTCTTGGTATTGTTGTAGTGAGGAGTCCCTGATGAGATGACCGGAGCATTTTTGCAAGTTGGAAGGAGCAGGTCGCAGATGAAGCTTGGGGCTTGTCTATTGAGGGCCTTGAAGGCGAGCAGGAGAATTTTGAATTGTATGCGCTGTTTAATGGGTAACCAATGAAGGTCTTTGAGGATCGGTGTGATATGATTACATTTCTTGAAAAGAGAAACCAGGCAGAAGGCAGAATTTTGGATCCGTTGAAGTTTATTCAAATCTTTGTCAGGGAGGCCAGTAAGTAGGCAGTTGCAGTTATCAAGGAGAGAGATGACAAAAGCATGAACTAACATTTCAGTGGTGCGCTTGTTGAGGTAATGACAAATTTTACCAATTTTCCTCAGAGCAAAGGAAGCCTTATGGCAGACTGCGTTGACTTGTGGGCGCACGGTGAGGTGACCATAAAAAAATCACTCCAAGGTCACGAACCGACTCTGAGGCTCGAGCCAGGTAGTCGCCGGAGGTTATGGGAGAGATCACTGCACTGTGTCTAGCCACGTATCTTACACACAAGGATAAACGACTGTTCTGAGCTCTAGTACAAATGCACTGAGCGGATTTGCCTTGAAATATAAAAACCAGTGTACTTCATTCTATTCATTCATTATTAACTAATGACAACATTAAGCTTTGATAGGAAAACTGAATAACTGTTTAATTTTAATCAAGAAAATAGGAAGGTGGACATGATGAGAAAATAATACTGAAATGGGCACGTATAACATCAAAACTGTAACATTTCACATATTTTAAACAAACACATTAACTTCATATATAACAAAAATTGACATAGTGATAAAAACAATGCATTTTTTGTTTTACGTCCAGACTTAACCATTTGTTTTATTACATTGGGTGTTCATTAATAAGTCTGACTAGATAAGGCAGGGTGCTGCTCCGCAGTCTCTCCGTTCTGCACCTAAAGTCTCTCAGTCGTCCACTGTGTCAAAGCTGACGCATTGAGCTCTGTGATTCGGGGAACCAATGTCTGAAATTCTTATGCAAGGATTTCGTGAACATGATACAAAGTTGTTCCCTTTGCTCACTCAGGGACATCAGGGCAGTCATCTGGAGAGCGTTGTCATACGTCTCATAGTGATCGGTAAGGATAATTCAAAGAGCTCTCTTCTGGATCATCTCTATGTCGTTGCTTTGTTGTGCGGTTATTGAGGAGTGCCAGATTGGTACGCAGTACTCCAGCAAGGGAAGGATGTAACAAGTGTATATGGTCAGTAAGTCTTCCACTGGCAAGCAGAAGCATTTCAGTGTGAGAATTACATAGAATTTCTGTGAGGCTCTCTTGGTTATATCCTAAATATGGCTATCCCATCGGCGATCGCTCTGGATCATAACGCCAAGTAGCTTTAAACAGTTCATTTCCTCCAGGGTAGTATCATTCAGCTCTAGTTGAAGGGGTGGTAGAGCAACTCGTGAGAATGACATGCACATCACTTTGCACTTAAATGAGTTGACGCGCAAACCAGAGTCTGAACACCACTACTGAAATTCGGTCAGAGCTGCAGGTATCACACTCTCGTCCTTCACCTTCCGGCTTTCTTCAAAAGTCAGGTCATCCACATACTTCCATCTTGCGACTGAAGCTGGCGATGTGAGCGCGTCGTTTATTATCGCGAGGAAGATGAGTGGTCCAAGGCGCGTCCCTTGAGGGACGCCTCCATACGGTGTGAGTGGCGCCGAGAATTCACCGTTGTATCGGGTAACCCGCTCTCTTGAAGGAAACTCTCGATCCATGGAATGACTGCTGGATATGCACCCACTGTTAGGAGTTGCTAAAATCTGCGACCACCACAGTGGAGACAGTCCGAAGCACGTCAGCGTTTCTATGCAGGAAGTGTAGTAAATCAACAAGGAAATGAGATGTGGAGATACCTTGTCTGTTTCCGAACTGTTAGTCATCAATGCCTTCACGGATATCTGCGAGAAGTTCGCGATAGACAAAAAGTTCTGCTAGCTTTGCGAAATAATCCATCTAAGATATCGGATGAAGTTTGTCGAGTGAGGGTGGGGATTGTTGAGGGACTGGCACAACGATCGACTTCTTCCATTGAGATAGTACTTTCCCTTCTGTTAGTAAGGTATTGATAATGTCACAAAGTGGGGATGCTAGTTCCAGAGCAAACTCACGAATCAACTTTGCGGAGATTCCGTCTGGACCACAACTCTTTCCAACTTTGATTTTCTTGAGTTCGGCAAACACGATCCAAGGCTGGACCTGCGGAATAGTTTTAGGGTCTATAGGTTGATATGCTGGTAACTCTTTGTTGTCAAGAGGATGTACATCTAACCAAATATCAATGAACTGCTTGTTAATTACGTCGGCAATGTTGCGTTTATCCGTCACTTGCATACCAGGAACATTGATTTCAGTTTTTGGTGACGAATTTGTGGTTGCGATCTTCACAAAGTTGAACCATGCACTTGGATTTTGCGTTTTCAGTCTTTGAATACGGTTTCTATAGTAATCCTCCTTTGATTTGTTGATCTCTCTCTGGACAAGATTTCTCGACGAGACCATTCAGTGATACTCCGATGAGAGGCAGTTTGTCTGGAATGGATCAGTTCCTTTACCATGGGGACATCCATGGTTTATCCTTACAATGCATGTTGATCTCTCTGGTGGGAAAGAAGGACTGTACAGCAGGAAGGAGATCCTTGTAAAAGTTCTCACATTTGGCTTTAACACCAACTGCCTTGGTCACGGCAGACCAATCATGAGTCACTATCCAATCTCTGAAGCATCTGATGTCTGACTGACGCATCGGTTGGATTGTTTTGCGATGAGTCTGGTTTCGATGTTGCACTTTGTAGTTTTTCGGCTCCCATATCACACCTCTGTGGTCACTACGGCTGAGTGGAGATGACAGTTGCACGGCTGAATATAGTTTGTGAAGGTTTGTGACAATTTTGTCAAGGATAACATCATTTTGCGTAGCTTTATCAACATTTTGTTTCAGTCTGTGATTATTGATGAGCGGGGTCATATTCAAGTGGTTAACATCTCCAAGTATGATGAGTCCTGCATCAGGATGACTCGCAAGGATATCGTCCACTGCGTGTGTCATATGCTGAATAAGGGATTCGCTGTTTGGGTTGTTAGGAGGATAATACACCGACGCTACAATAATGGAACAGTGTTCGTGGCAGTAGATGAGGGCGTAATTGCGCCCATACAATTTCATGCTCTGTAGGGACATTGAGGCGAGCCAAGGGTGTAGGGTTTATGTTGTTTTTTTTATGTAGAGGGCCACACCCCCTCCACGCCTGTTGATTTGGCTTTTTGTAAACATCGAGTAGCCAGGGATCTTGAATGCGTCGTCAGGAATGTCGTCAGTGAACCACATCTCGCTCACTGACACGAGGTCGAAATCATTATCTCTGACAACAGTTATGAATTCGTCGAATTTGTTGACCAGTGATTGTGTATTCGTCATATAAACTGACGGTAAAGTGACTGTAGTTTCTCCAATGCCACTTTGAAAGATTGTTTTTGTCGAGGTCTTCTATTCACCTTTCTTGGTTTTGGTTTGGTTATTCGCACAAGTATTTGTCTTTCCCCTGCAATGTGCGTGTGTATGTCTCGATAAGCGTATATGTGACGGCCGCCTCTTCGACTTCGGAGATGTAGAATTTTCAATTCCTTCAGAGTTTGGAAAAGACATGGTTCAATATATTTAGCACTATAAGCATGTCTCAGAGAGAAGAGTTCTAAACTGGTGTACTGGATTGGTAGTGACATAATTAGCATACAAAAGTCTAAAGCACTTGGATGACAATGGCGACTCTCCACATTCTGGAAAGGCTGGTTAATCACACAAATGGGAAGCTGCTCAAATACATTGAACGCACAAACACAAAGGGCATCACTGTCCCATTGACTCTACACACGTAGGCTGCTTACGTGTAGGAGTATGAAGTTCCAAGTCAGAAAAGTAGCTACGATCTTCGTCAAAATTCCTGGAAATGTCCAAGCAATGTGAACATGTCACCTGGTCCTCTGAAATCACTACTTCTCAATGAATGCTTAGTACAAATTTAAAACTATAATACACTGTAAAAACGGTAAAAAATGGGAGACAATTCAGAGCAGAAAATAGGTGTGGCAGCAGCTCAAACAGCGCCCTCAACTTCAGGATATAATAGATGGTATTGGCAGTTTTTGTCATCATAGATGAAGTATTTACCCGGGAAAAAAACATCAAATTTCGAGGACAACACCGTTTACACAAATTTCGTTGTTTAATTAGGTTTTCATTAAAAACGTTTTAGAGAGATGTGGTCCCGAACTAATAAAACAAAAGCGACATTTCATAGTTCATTTTAAAGCTAAAGATATTGTGCTCGGCGTTAACATGATTATGTAGTTATCACTTATCAGAATTCAATAATACAGACCAAAAAGTAGACTCATGAATATTCAAAAATATCATTAGCTGGCTAGACAGACTTCGACACCAGATCAGGCGCAGAGCCCTGCAAATCTGAAAGCCGCCGCGCGCAGGGGTCTTTGTTGACGAGTATGCATGGTATTTGCCACCAGTACAGGCCGTTATCACGCGGCTAACCAGGAGTTTGGCTGAGTCGTTAATCCTTGTGTGTAAGATCCGTGGTCTAGCATGTGATGAAGAAAGGTGCAGGACTTTCATCTGGCTGTCGTTCAAAACAAGATAGTTGTTTGCCATATCATCATTTAGTATCACATTTGAAGTTCACAACGTGAACATGTACCAATCAAAATAAAGATATTGATTAAGTAGTGTTTGAATGCTTCAAGATACATGAATATCAGCCAGAGTCATTGATTCATTTTACTATTAATATGAGTTGCCCAACTTTAATAAGTCCCTGGAAAAAGCCGCTCCAGGGTGAGGGCTACAATATAGATGCAAAAAAAAACAAAAAAGAAGGAGCTCGGAATAAAAGGAATTTACAGCATAGACAGATATTTAAAGGGCTTCAATGGACTATGTAATCTATGTACAAGATATGGCACATTTAAACCAATTCCATGTTGATGAAGCAAAAGAGAAGAAAGAAATTAAGTAGAGCTTATAAGTGACTGTTTGCTTCGCATGGATGTTACACAAAAATATTAATATACAGGATGGATAAAAAAACTGAAGCCGAGATAATATTGCTAATTGGAACAGAAGTAGGGCACATGTGAATCAAAGGGAGATATTTTCCATTAGGATTGAATCTTCTTTAAAATGACACCCTGATCATATCATTACATTCAAGGTTGACTGAGCAGTGACCAATTTTATGACAGGGTCTATTTAGTGAATCGTGCCACTGTTCAATTGTAAGTTTTTGTGGCGTCATTTGTCACAGAGTAAAAGGCTATGGTTGCCAATCAAGGCACATGGGGAAAAAAGAGATTTTACGATGAGAAGTGGCGCAATTCTCTCAATAGAAACTTTCATAAAATTGGTCACCGCTCAGTCAACCATGAATGTAAGGACATGATCAAGGTGTCATTTTAAAGAGTAGATTTTTTCAACCCTAACAGAGAATATCTCCTTTTGATTCACATGTGCCCTACTTCTGTTCCAATTAGCAATAATATCTTGGTTTCGTTTTTTTTTTATCCACCCTGTATATTCATTCTTAATATAGATTTTGTTTTACCTTTATCATCCTATTCATTGCCAGAGATTGGGAAGCCCTCACTAGACCAGCTATTTCTGCCCCGCTGAAGTTCTTGGTAAGTGAAGCAAGCTTGTCTATTTTGACATCATCTGCTAGTTTCTTGTTTTCACGCATCTTTGAAACATATATATCCAAAATCTGCATCCTTCCTTCTTCATTAGGAAGGCCTGTAGTTAAAGAAATTGGAAATTTACAAGAATGGTTCACTGAAATGCAAGTTTACAAAACTTGAGCATGTTTAAACTTCTCAAATAAACAACATGAAGAAACTGACTAGGTTGAAGAAAAAAGATTGAACTGCAAGGTTGTAATATTTGACCTTAGGAACACTTTACCAGCACATTACCAACTGAGCTATCCAACCCCATGTTGGTGGCCTCCCAGTTTGTCAGTGTCTTTGTTCATGGGCCACTGGTAAGAAGCAATAATCTTATGTGTATCATGTGGCCAAGATTCATGCCCTAAGTCTCAATGTTAAACAATAATAGCAATGTTGAGTTGTCATAATCTACCATATTCTTTTTGAGTGATCACTGAGTACTATGTGCAAAAATGTCCTTTACTAGTGTAGCATTGGTGGTACATTGTCTGGTGAAATGCTCCCATCAAAAAAGAACACTGATGACATATCAAAGAGATTGTTGGCAGCAACTTCTGATGGTGTGTGCAACTTTTCCCAAGTGAGGATATCCGGTAGGCACATGCAAACATGCACACATGGCAAGGCAACAGTATGGCAACAGTATATCTACTCAGCTTCGCTTGCAGGGCAATGAAAGCACACAAATTTTTGCAGGGTTGGCCCAAGCACTCTGGCCAGCCATATGTACTTCCTCCTTGCTTGCCTCATCGCTCCTTTGCAAGTCACATTTGCATGAGGCTGTCGATAACAATTTTTGATTATTGATATCCTATCCTTTCCGGTGCCGTCCTCTGACAGAGGGTGGGTGGCAGCCAACTTTGCAGTACATGTCCAGGATTGGTGATCTTTGGCATGTCGCACAGCTGTGTGGATGGCAGCAAGAGCACCTTATTCTGAATGCTTGGTTGGATATGATTGAGTGCATTGAAAACTGCCTGCAGCTCTACGGCATTGATGTGCCAAGCTTGTTGATGTTAAAGCCACATTTCTGCTATTTGACAAGGAGTTAATGTGGCTCCCCAGCCTGATCGAGAGGCATCTGGTTAGGACTCTTGTTGGTCGCGATTTTGGGAATTTTAGGACGCTTCTCAAATTTCCACCATATCTATCCACCATAGAAGGTGTGGCTGTAGGTAGACAACATGGCACCATGAGGCTGATTGGGATATGTCTCAGTTGATAGTGAGCAAGGAGGTGGAGTTGAAGTGGGCGCATGTGAAGTCGACAATAAGCCACCAGGTCCACCATACTTGCCATTAATCCCAGTAGTTTTAGCCATGCTGCTGCTGGGACCACCGTTTTTTTCGAGGAACGCATTGTTGGAGGTTTTGTGCACGTATTTCTGTAGGGAAGGCAATACTTGTTGGGGTCTGGGTGGGAGTTGGTTGCGAATTCGCTTCCTCGATGAGGAATCCAAGTTGAGTCGCCATACCCACGGTCACACTGAATGCTTTGCTGAATTCCTGCTTTGACCGACTGACCACCAGCCAATCGTGCAGATACATGAACACCATGATATTTTGCTTGTGAAGGGCAGCTCCTAAGGCTTTCACAATCGTTGTGAAGACCCTGGGAGATGTTGAAAACCTGAATGGAAGGGCTGTAAACTCATACATCACTTTTTTGTAGCAGAATTGCAGATATTGATCATGACAAGGATGAATTGGAACATGCAGGTAAGCATCTTTGAGGTCCAGGGATGCAGCCCATGCTGGTATTGGAATCGATTCCAGAACTACCTGAAGGGAGTCCATGCGGAATCCTTTCTGGCGAGCGAATCTGTTTAATGGTTTGGGATTTAAGATGGGTTGCCATGTTCCTGTTCCTTTCTTTGGTGTGAGGAAGAAAGCTGATTGAAAACCTGATGATTCTTCCTGTGGATCTACAAATTGAATTGCATTCTTTGAAAGAAGAGACTTGATCTCTGTCTCTAGAGCAATGCATTTGGGTTGGTCGGATGGAATCCGTGTGTCTGATATGGGAGGGGGAGGGTGCTCGTGAATTCTTTTGCATAGCCTTGTTCTATTATTTTGAGCACCCACCAATCGGAGACGACCTGGGACCATGACCCTATGAAGTTTTGGGGGCCTGCTATATTTATGGGGGCCCGCCATAATGTTAGGCAGTGAACTTTCCTGCCATGCCACTCGGCTTGCAGGATTGATTTTGGTGGCACTGATTAATTTATTGGGAAGTGAACCATGACTGGGGCATCGCATATTGACCATGGGTCCTTCCTCGATAACTCTGAATGGGGCGTCCTGAAGAAGGTTAGAAGCTCCCCGTTGATTTCATGGTCTTCGTCGAGTCTGGCCCTGACTTGGGAACAGGCTTGCCAAGTTGATTTTATCAGTGGCCTCAATGCACTTAGCTTCTGCCACCATCGACTCCTGGAATCTCCTGGCAAAAAAATCTGGACCCAGAAGAGGGAGTGATTCCATGCCTTTTCTCACCCCGTCAGAAGGGAAAAACAGTGCATCCAGCATGTTGTTTCTGGGGGCAGTAGTAGATCCAAGCAAACTGTTTCATGAACATGCGTAAGGTTTCATCCAAACAGTGGATGACTGCTGATAAAATGTCCACTGGAACAGTATTACAATCCTTGCTTCCTCTGACAAGATACTCCGAAAGAAATAAGAGGAAAGATGTTGTGTGTAATCCGAACAGAGAAGCCCAATCCACTTTATTCAAGGTGTCTTCCAGCTTATTTCTGGTTCGGGCGGCAAAAAGTCCTTCAGTAGAACTTGATCCTGTTCCATCTGCAGTCAGCTTATCTTTGGCTGGGTCAAGAACGGTAGGGACGGACAAGCAGTTTTCAAAATCGTTCGCAGGAAAGCGAACAAGCTTGCCTGATTGTTAAACGATTTCCATTTCTTAGCCTCGGTCACAGATTGGATGTGCTTGGTGCAATATTGATCCAAGGGTAAAAATGGAAAGGGTTTAGCATTTATGGATCATATCAGGTTGGACAAGGCGCAGTTGTGATTCCAAGGGAGAGAGGTGACGTGTATCAATATCATCTTCATCCAATGATCCTTGGTCTCTGGAACATGCCTCAGCTTGACCAGTGAAATTCCCACTGCCAAGTGGAGGCATTGTGGATCTCACATCTCATGTTGTCAAATCTCCGTCTGAATGAGATAAATTTTACAGGTGGGTGAATAGTAGTTGGCGGTGAGGCAGGAGGGCAACTCACTGTATGAGGGTTATCTTGTAGGTCACCCAGAGCCCAACCCGGGCCATTGAAAACAGGTCACTGTATGAGACTCTGCCATGTACATGGGGCACTATTGGGGCCGAGTTGGTCTGCATGGGTGGCGAGTTGGTCTGCATGTGGGATGAGTTCGTCCGAGCAAGGGGTGACTTGACCCAGTGGTGGGGCGAACTGGCCCACATTCACTATTATGGCCGACAACGTTGTAGAAATATTTTGGAAAGCTTGCATGAAGTCGGCAGTGGAAACAGATTCAGATTCTTTGTTTTGACCTCTAATTTCGATTATACTATCGGAAGACGACTCTGATTCAGAGTAGCATTTCTTGCTGGATTTTCCCTTTTTTGGGCAATCGGCTCCGGAGAGACTTGGATGAGGGCAGAACAGCAGAAATTCTGGAACACCGAAGTAATTCTGAGGATGAATCAACCATCGATGTAATAAGGAAATATGTCTGTCATCCCGCGAGGATAAGTAAGAAAATGTCCCGTCTCTGCGTTGTCTGTATTCGCTACTGATGAGGTTAGTTGGGTTCGCCTGGGATTTGTTCCGAGGCATCAGAGGCCAAATCTGCAAGGATAACGTCCCGTTTGCCCTTGAAACTTCGTCCCTTGGACTGTGATTTCGAATGGCTCTTACTGCCTCGCTTTGTGTTGACCCCGACAGCTGTGGATGACAAGACAGGCTGATCACTCTGGCCCACTGCCTGGCTCGTGGTGACGCCAACGCCCAGTTTGGTCGTTGGGGTGAATCTTGCTTTTTGAGGGAGAACTTTCCCTGGCAAGTTCAGTCTGGTTAAGGTCCCTGGGAGAAGAACTTCTCCCTGGACTCACCCACAGGGAGCTGGTGGCCTTGTGGATAGCACTGATTCCACGTTACATGTTAGCAAACTCCGAGACGATTTGTTCTTGTTGCCGAATGTTACATTGTCTGTTGAAGACATTTGGGGTTAAAAACTCACATTCTTGTCGACACGAAGAAATAAATCAAACAGAAGACTGAAGATACTCTAGTTTTATTGTAAACTACAAAAGCTCTTAGACAAATGAAAAAAGGCTAGGATATTTTACAAGAAATCCGCACAGAAACATATCACGTCCGTCTTCGAACACTGCTAAGAGAAAAGAGGAAGAATGTAGCGGGTACACCGCAGGGCATGAAAGTTAGGCTAACGTGTGAACTAAGACAAGATAAGTTTGCGGTAGCACCATGTAAATAAATCTCTTTTGTGAGTATGTGTGGTTCTGAAAAGAACCGGAGGGACTCAACATTTCGAACAGTATGCTCTGCCCGTCGTCAGGAGAGAGCATACTGTTCAAAATGTTGAGTCCCTCCGGTTCTTTTCAGAACCACACATACTCACAAAAGAGATTTAATCACATGGTGCTACCGCAAACTTATCTTGTCTTAGTATCTTTCCACCATGCAAACCTTCAAATCTCAACGTGTGAACTCTTAGTGAATGAATTGCGCCCTCTACAGAAATAGGCATCAGTAGTGGCTCTACGGGTGAGTAGTGTGCAGTAGACTTTAAAAAGTTATATTACAATTTGTTAAAACTATGCTCTTGAACACAAAAAGTGTGAAGCATACATCTACTCTTGCCCCATATACATTGTATACATGCCTGCTTGTTTTGTTATTAGCTGTCAGTTTCAAATCTTGGGTAGAATTTTAGTTCAAAGATTTCTACTGCCTTTTGCAGTCAACCACAATAATGCTACATTATTAAAATATAGTAAAAAAACAATCACATCCATGTAATGGTTGTGTTTCACTGTATGATGCAATGAAGATGGGATACATTTGTA